TAGATAGCGGAGGAGAGGGGGAGAGGGAGAGAGAGAGAGAAAGAGAGATTGTATCTGGCGGGTTCAGAGACCCCGTTCCTACGTGTCTTTTACTCGGTGTGCGCATACGTTAACTGCATATGACTTGTTGGCGTGTGCATAAGCGTGTATATTATTACGCGCCTTACGGATTGTGATTGTTGATTTCTTGCGCCACCGTGTTATGTATCGTTGATTCACGAGTGATAAGCGAGGGATCGAGCGTCTTTGTTTCAGCCCCTATCAGCGGTTAATAATAACCGGATTTTGGTCAATTTGGTTCAACCGGTGGTTGTTTTATTTTTTGTATATGACGTGTCTCTCTTTTGTATGTGACGTGGTAAATTTCGTTGGCAATTTAAATTCGGCACGGAGAGAGATTTTTAAATTGATTTTATTCGATCCGAATCGACGCAAGGATGCGTTAGGGATTAAAGGGAAGGATGAATTGTTCCTGTTCATCTTTTCAACAAGTTGCAACGAATTTCTGTTCGATTAGAATAAATTCAAATGAGTTCAGATTGATTTGATTCTCTCGGAGAATTAAGAAGAAAGAGGAAGAAAATTGCATGATAGATACATCTTGGGCTCGGATAACTTATGTAAACGCGATGGAGGGGGAGGAGGGGGGGGAGGGGGCACGAGTTTTCTTCGCTAATAGATAGTATATTATAGCCATAACGATAGAGGGAATCGTGGGCTCGCGAGACCGTTTGAATTTTACGGCTGTCTCTATTCTTCACGGCTATCGTATTTATGGTGCACCGTAAGAGAAACAGAAGAGAAACAGTTCAAAGAGGGTTTCTACTAGGCGTCCGATCAGGCCGGTCATAAATAATTCTCATCGCCTGAATTCGCCCTGATTTATAGCTAATTCAACTACAACACCAACTTCCCACCAGCAACCAGGACGACTGTCTCTCTCCCTCTCTCTTTTTTCGTCACGTTTTTTTTGACATCTTTCTCTCCATCGCGTTTATATCGCATATATCCATATTATTACCGTTCGAGAATCGCGGGGAAGAATGGCGAGGATAGAGGAGGAATATTATGAACATTAAACTCGATGAATAGTGAAAGTGGATATTGATGATCGCGTGATAGAAATTAAATTTACGGACTATTTGAGAATTACAATATACTTTGGAATATTACTTGGAAATATTACCTGTTTCCACTTGTCCAATAATCGACACTATTAAACGGTGATTATTATAATCTTACGAATATATTATATGCGAATCTATATAAATCTTCTTTAAGAAGGAAATCGATTTTTTTTTTTCAACCGATGGAAAACTCAAAATCGTGTGCGTTTATTGAATTTATTCGATTCCGTTTCGAGCGGAACGGATCAAAAACGGGTCGCAACGTGGCTCGTTCGCGCGTGTTCCTTGGATGGAGGGAGCGGGTTTGGTTGAACATGGTCGGAAGGGTCGGATGTGCACTGGCCGGTTTAAAATGTGAGTCAGTGCCGTGGATTCGTCCTTGGTATTCGTGCATTTCACTCGAATCGTCCTTCTACCGGGTGAGCGAATTCGTACGCACGATCTCGATTTCAATCTTGACCTCGATATCTCGATTTGTTTCGACCCGGGTATAGGCTCTCTTTAATTATAACATAAGTCGAGAGTATTCGATCGTATGTATTCCGATATTATTTAAAATTATAATGAGCTTATAATATTTAAGTTGAAAATTTAAATTGTGTATCGTATTTAAATTATTTAATTTTTAAATGTATATTATAATATTGTTGAATCAATGCAACATTATGGGTCGTGATATGGTAATAATAGGCGCTGCTTGGTCGTGTATTTCATTGATTTTTTCTTTCTTTCTTTCTTTCTTTCTTTTTTTTTTCACGAGTCAATCGTTTTCGAATTCAGATTTTGGATTTTAATTCGTTTCGCAAGGGGAATTGAGTTTATTATAAAACTTTTTTGAATTATAAAAAATATTTCACGTTTATTCAGTATCTTGTAATCACATGCAAATTTATATTTTTGCGAAGATAAGAAAATTGAACGGGAGTAAAAAATTACTTTACACACTTGATTATATATTTTTACGTAGCGTCGTAGGATTCATTTCCATTAAAAAAAAAATATATATATATATATATATATATATCCAATAAATCGATAGATGCAATTATTAAAGTCGTTATCCTGCTGTTCGAACTTTATAATTCTAACCTTGATTCAATTAAATATACACGACTTCACTGTTGTAATATAATCTCTAATAAAAGTTATGATTGCAGTCTTAAACTGTTCAATAACATAATAAAAATAAGTAAACTCTGTTGAAATATGTCCTTTCCCTTCCTGTCATTAATATCGTAACAATATATTTTAAATCATGGATAGACATTAACATCTCTAATAACAGCTTTCGATCTATCGATCTATCGAACGTTCATCTCGTTCGTAATAATGTTCGTAATAATATAATAATAACAATATCTAATAATTCTAGACCAAAGTAGCGAAAGAATAGCTCGAAAGTCTCGTGAGCCGCGCGCGACTAGAATTCTCGCCAGTTGCAATTCGCGTGATCGTTCGAGCGAATCTTACGTAACCTCTACTCGCACGACCAAAATTCCAGCGAGTGCATTGGCGCAATTACATACGATATTATAAGAACGAATTGCTCTCTCTCTGCTCTGTCTCTCCTTCTCTCTTCGTTCGAATTGATTTACTGCCAATCTTTCGATACTTTTTTTCACGAGGAAAGGTGATTTCTGTATTTATAGGTTATTTCGTGAAAGTGAGGTTAGGAGATTTATAATATAATCTTGTTACGCTGTATTTTAGCGTTTTATTATTCGTATTAACAGTGTCTTTGGAATTATTCTTAGTTTCCTAGAGATCTGGTGAGGTTAAAGAACAAGCCAGATTGAATTGGTGAATTTAGATTCGTTGGAAAAAATTATGTATACGTTTCCGTATCTTTGATCTGTGTATCGCCAATTAGAGGTTAATTAATTATTGTAACTTTATAAAATCGAGATATCGAAACTATTCCCGTTATCTTAATAGGTCTAATACATGTCCAAATATTATTCCATTCTGTATTTTATCGATCTGTTACAGAGTTTATTTCTTTAAAAAAATCAAACCGCAATTGATTTCGACACGCCCAAGATTTCTTACATTTCTCGATAATGAATTTGTTCGATGAGAATTGAAAAATAAAAATTTCTTCTTGAGAAAGAGTGTAACGATACAATTTTTTTCTTTTTTTTCGAATATTAGAATTCTAAGAAAATGGAATAAATTACTCCGCATGTACTTACATATTACTCTCAATTTTCACTCGAATCGATGTATAATATAAACCTTTGTACCAATTTTCATCGAATAATCGACAGATATATTAGATAACGAGTCGTTACGTTATACTCATCGACAACGACTGTTTTACGTTCACTTTCGATCGAAAGCGAGAACGCGACGTATCACAACGCGAGGAAAATTCTCTTCTTAACCTAGCCACTTTTCGATCGATTTGCACCCCACCCCTCCCCTCGTCCTCGGGATTCACGCGATATCGCGACGAGCGCGGAAGAGGATCTCGAGAGAGGGTCTCGTCGCGACTTTTCACGACATTACACGTGGCTCGTGATTCAGTCACGTAGCCGGCTCGTTTAAGCTCGTGATCGTTAGCCGGCTGGTGTGTTATATGGGCGTAACGTGATTCTCGTGTCACGTAGCGTAACGCGTGGCCCTTCGTTCCCTCGCGAAAAAAACGAGAGAGGGAAACGACCGAGAGCCGATGCGCGGCGGAAGGGGAAAGGAGAAGAGGGGGGAGAAGGGTGCAGACCTTCTCGTGACGCTCCACCATTGGATTCGTATTTGGAAATAATCTCCTTGCCGTGCATGCGCAACAACGTGAAAGTGAAAAACGGGCCTTCGTGACGTTTAACGGATTGCCCGTGGTGAGTTTCACGCGCCCAACACTTTAATTTCTCTGATTCTCCTTCAAAGCTCTCGAACGAAGAAGTTTTACAAATCGACAAAATCCACTCAATTCGATTTATCAGAATGATAAATAATTGGCTTATATTATCTCGAATTTATTTTATAATATCTCGATTCGATTTTAAATCTACGAGAATATTTTATAAGAATAAGAAGAAATGGATGATGATGTAAAGATATACGCCCGTGAAAGAACAAAGGCGGAAAGTGGATTGGATAACCGGGAATGAGTCAGAGTCGGTGTGGTGTCGAAGGGGGCCTCGATAGATTGGGAAATCGGGCATTAACCGCCGGTTTCCGGCACCGCTCGCGGTATCACGTGTACACCGTGAACAGGATAATTTGTGTCGAACGCGTGACCGAGCTGGCTGAGATTTATGCGCGGGATAGGCACGCGCGCCGCTGTTTCCACTCGATGTTTATCTAAATCGCTCCCAGATCTCTTTCGTATTGCGTTTTACGCCTTGCACTTTAACACTCGGTTTTTGGTCCCACTTAGGTTGAAAGATAAGGTGGTTTCGATTAAGGTGGGCCGCTGCGTATGTCTGCTGCTAACCAGCCTAACCTAGCTTACTAGGAGCTATTTTAATGTTTATTAGACGTTGCTATTAGACGTCGGTTTCGATTTTTCTTCTTCTTCTTCTTCTTCTTCTTTCTCTTCATTTTGCATTTTAATTTAGAAGATAAGGGTTTTACTTACGGGGGTGAAGAAACGTTTTACGCATCATCGGATAAGATGGCACGTGAGGGTAATTAATTTTGAGCGTTGGTAGGAGGAGGAGGAGGATGGTTATTCGATTTGTGATCACGAAGAAATATCGAAATATCGAATGATTCGAGGATTATTAGTTGTATTATTGGTTTATTAAAAACTTTTTGCATTGGCTTTAAATAAATTGGAATAATTTATAGATAATCCGTATCTCTCGCAATAAGAAGAATTGTACGTTGAAAATTTTCAATTATACTCACGCATCTTGTTTTTCTGTTTTTCAGGTAAGATCCATGTACCATCGTTTCACAAATTCCCCCAAACCTCGAAGGTATTTATTAAACGCTGGATCGGAAACACTCGTCATGTTCGACAAGGTAGAGTATTAAATTTTAACTTGCCAGCAACTACTCTCTTGGATAGATCTTGAATAACTTAGCTTAATGTTTTCACGAATAATTTTCATCGGGTCGATCATTTGATCGATACACATATAGATCTAGGATGCTCGTTAATGCACAGAGGTAATGTAAGAGATTTCCTCGAAACGATGTCAAGGCCGTGACCTAATGCAAGGTCGTCGACGCTTCTTTCTCCATCCCCCTCCCCCCTCTCTCTCTTTCCTCCTCCGTAACTTCTGTTTTCCGCCGTTGGAATTTTCACCAAGTGTCCAAGTCGAACTCGTGGAATCCATGCCAGGAATGTCAGCATCTATTCGAATCTGATTTAAAATCTCGTCTCTTTCGCCGGAATCAATCCTTCTAAAAAAAGGAAAGAAATCCTGTGTCCACAGGTGATTCGAATTCTTCATTTTTCACTTCTATCAAAAATATATATATATTTGTATATTCCTTCCAAATTTCTTCGATTCGAGGATCGAGTCACAAAAGCCACCCCCTCCCCCAATCCCTGATCGATCGAAAGACCGTCCACCGGGTCGATTCCCCTGACTGCACATGAATGGAACAGAAGTCACGATTCGCATTGAGGTCTCGTAGAACGAGATAGTCCTCGAATAAATATGCGCCGCGCCACGTCCGTAGGAATCGTAGGAAGTTCTCGTCGCTTTCTTTCTTTCTTTCTTTCTTTCTTTCCTTGCATTCTCTTCTCCCCCTCCTCTACGCGTGTCGGTGACCCGTATCATCGATCGATCGATGGCCTGTCAATTAGCCCCTCCCCCTCCTCCCTTCCCCTCGTTATAAATCGAACGACACCTACGCGAGTTTTCTAATCTTGTGCACGATATGCGCGATTGAAAAAAGGAAAGAAAGAGAGAAAAAAACGAGCGGACAAAATGGGGAGGGGGAGGGGGAGAGGGGCATTATGCCACCGTGCATGAGTCACGATTCTTATCGTTTCGGCGTCGCTAATGGAATTAATGAATATTTCTTCGAGCCCCCTCCCCTCGCCTTCCGCTCGATTATTGGCGGTTTCTAATCGACGATTAACGAGCCTTTGTTTAGTAGAGGTTTCTCTTAATTGTTCGTCAACAGGGGGAGGAGGATCTCGAATACGTGAGCGAATTTAGTGTTGGAATGCGGTGTGAAATTTTCCTTTTGACTCGTGTCATTTTTTTAATGATAAAGTAATAAAGGTAGATGATGATGATTTAATTATAATTATTTGTTATTACTCTTCGTGTGTTCGATATTATTGGTCGCTGATGATATTGCAATCGGTTGTTCGCGAAAATGTGGAACGATTCGATCGATTCGTATTAAGAGCGAATTACTCTTTCGAAAATTTTATCTGCGCGGGTATATATATATATAGAGATAACGGGGATAATCTCTTAAATGAAAACATTCTATGTATCTTCGTTTCCTCGTAATTGATATATACGATTCCCAAACGGGATCGAGAAATAGAAACATCGCAATCGAAATATTTACACTGTGCAAAATATTCGTTTAATTATACGGTGTTTATAAACATCGTATAACATCGTAAATTTAATAACCAGAGACGAAGGATTTCTGACTGAGTTTCGAAGTTATCGAATCGAAGCAAGGAATGAATAATGATTCTATATTCGAATATTTAAGGGAAAAAAATTCATCGATTCTCAAAATTTAATATAATAATATAAGTGAGAGAGAGATTATTAATCAAAAGAGAGTTGTAAAAAAAAAAGAATGAGTAAAAAATTGGACATTGGATCGAGATCGAATAACAATATAAATCTTTCCTGCGAAAACATCGATTAAAAGACAAAAGCGGAACGGTCAATTACTTAAAGTACATATTCTACATTGTATAACCGAGGACAAAAGCACCGAAAGGAGAAAGGCTATTGGACACGGGTCAAAAATGAAATATTCTCCATAACAAAAGGCAGGTAAAAACGAAAAGGCTACTTGCACGGCTCAAAAATGTAATGTTCTCCATAACAAAAGCAAGTAGAAACAAAAGCCAGTGACTCAAGAAACTTAACGTTCCCCCATAGCCAAAACGAAAAAAGCAACCAAACGTTCCAGCAACGTTTCGCTCCTACTCTCTCTTTCTCTCTCTGTTCCCTTATCTCTCTCTCTCTCTCTCTCTCTCCCTCTCCTTCTCTCTCCACCACAGAGTAACGAGAAACGCGTGCTTGAAAACGCGACTGTAGACCGTGGCAGACTATTCTCTCGCCTCGGCAGCCGCCTCGCTTGTCCTTCTTCTCCTTCGACTCCTTCTCCTCCTCTTCCTAGTCCAAGGTGGAGGAGGTTGTTGCACCCTCCTCGAGCATTGTGCATGCGTGCACGAGGGTGCCTAGCCCCCTTCATCCTCTACTCTGTATGCAACCCGTCTCTCCTCTCCGCGATGGTGCAATGACACAGCTTCGTGGAAAGGCATCATAGCGGAAGAATTCAGGATTATCGATTGCCACCTCCTGGTCTCCTCCGACCACCGATTCTGCGCTCCTCTTCCNGAAAGGCATCATAGCGGAAGAATTCAGGATTATCGATTGCCACCTCCTGGTCTCCACCGATTCTGCGCTCCTCTTCCCCGCGGATTAATATCTTCCGCGATTTTTTCCCTTCGAGATTAATCTCTCTCTCTCCTTTCAACCTCTCTCCACTCGTGCAAGAAATCGAATATATTCGATGTGTTCTGAAGTTAAGGAATCTCTCGATTCGTTCGACTTTCTAAAATTTTCATATACATACATATATATATATATATATATATATACGCGCTTCCTCGTGAATAATTTTTAAAAAAATATCAAGAGTATCCTTTGCTCGATCCTTAAACCATCCCCTCTTTCAAATCCTTGTTGATCAACGGCTACAAGAAAGAATGAAAGAAAGAGAGAAGGTAAAAGAGAGACCAACGCTAGGAGCAGAAAATCTAAATATTTCAAGCGAAACGCACACGCCCATAGGGCCCCGTACTCGGTTTTATTATTCCCTTCCGAGGTGTGCTCGCGCTTAGAAAAGTCGCGGTATACCCGGCTGGCGCGGGTACTCCTTGGGCAGGAATATAAAGCGTTTTATGGGTCTGTCTGGCCGTGCGAGCGCGGCCGACACGGCGAGGGGCCCTTGGCCCCTTGAGCGCGAGTCCTCTTCGGGGTCCTTGCGCCCATCCGGCTCGGGACTGGATCGAGAGCAGTGCGCGTTGCCCGCGCTCGCTTCGCTGTTGTCCATAAACGCGTGGAAGCCGCTATAAATCAGGCCGTTTGTCGAGGAACGAATCCCGTTCGCGGTTCGTTAGAAAATTACACCGCTCCCTGGGCCTCGCGCACCGAGACAGAGAAAGAAGGAAAGAGCGAGAGAGATGGAGACTGAGAGAGAGAGGAAGAAGAAGAAGAAGAAGAAGAAGAAGAAGAAGAAGGGTATTCCCTTCCAGATCCTTCGACGAGAATTCTTCCCTCTCTTGTGCTTCTTATTTCTCTCATCGCGGAGTGGCTGTCGGTCTGTTGATTGACTGACCGGAAGTTGCACTCGAAGCGTTATGGCGGAGGCTGTTTGGTGGGATGTTAAAGGGAGGGGGAGGGGGAGGGGGGAAGGGAGGTTTCGTGTGGTTTTGTTGCGAGAGAAGGTTGCCGGAGTGGATTCTTGTTGCTCGGTTTTGAGGTTAGGTTTTTGTGCCGGGGGAGGCACGGCGTAGGTGGCGTTTCGGTTGGGTTAGGTCAGTGGTTCCCAACCTGTGAATATACAGGGGATCAAGAATTTTGAAACTTTTTTTCTTTTAAATCGAATCTTTTGCAATTCGTATCGGAGAATTGATCACGTGTCTATTTATTTTGCCATCATCCCCTCCTTCCTAATTTCTCTCTGATCGAAAGGAATGACTTCGAAGTCTTCGAAAATTCTTTCTTCTCGAAAATTAATCGAGGCAACTCTCATCACAAAATTCAATTCAAGAGAATCCTTTTCGTCATTTCTAATATATAATATTCTGATATATATGGAAAAATGAAAAGTCCCCGAAATTTCTTCTCTCCTTCGTTCCCCAACCTCTCCTTCGAGACTCTTCCAAAGCGTTCCCTCTCCCGTCCGCTCCCGAGAGGAGGGGGGGCTACTCCAGGGCGCGTTGCCCTCCGCGTCGTCTGTGACGCGCACACAGGTGCACCTAGGCGCATTTTTCCGCGGCGCGTGCAGCGTGATGCCGCGTCACGTGTCTAGAATCTTACTTTCACTCGGGGCCCGTGCGTACGGGCCCGTTTTGCAACCGGCCCCGATCGCCCGCGGAAATCTCGCTTCCATCCATCCATCCATCCGTCCGTCCGTCCATCGATCGATCAAACGCCGCGAGTTTTCATCGGCGAGTTCGCGCCGCGGAAAGGTCGCCGCCGCTCTTCACGATTCGAGCGCAGTTGAATATCACCGCGTATTATGTAACGTTCGATAATGGATACGATGCTCGATAACGCGTTGTTTGCGATACGTTGTAAGAGGAGGTCGTTGACCTTTTGCTCCAATTGATTCGATCGAAGATTCTTCTAAATCGAATATATATATATTTTTCTTTTTTCCTTGTATTATTTATGAAAGTAAACTTTTTTGAGAAGGTGTTTTTTAAGCGGTTAAGCAGGTCTGGTCTTTCGAGACGTAGCATTTTATCGGATAAGCAGATTTTGTAATTGAGATATCAGTTAGTTAGGTAATTTAATACACGTGTAAACGTGTGATAATTGACAAGGAAATTGGTATGTATTCTTGAATATCGATGATGTGATGATGATCGATGTAAAGAACGAGCGATGTTTATTTTATGGGAAAAAAGATTTGGATTAATTATGGATATTATTTCGCAAAAATTCCTCTTCGTTTCGATAAGTGTACTTGTTACATATTTTTTTTTTTATATGGATATGAATTATATTTTCCAATTTAACTCTTTGTTAAATTGTACTATGCAAAGCGGCAATTATATCTTTTAGATATTATTATTA